CTAATGCTGTCTAACAAAGGAATTATCGGATACTCTCTAGGTGATCTCAAAGCAGAATTGATTGATTCTGCAGGGTTGTTGGTGTTAATGTCGTATCTAAATCCCGGAAAGTGGCAGCGAGCCCATTTTTCAACATTAGCATCGTCTAAGTATGCACCAATCGCTGGACTGATGTTGCAAATATCCTCGAACAACTTCTCAAACTGAGTAACTCTATAGGATTTAGACGCTTTTGCAACCATACCAGCCACACCCCTTCCACTGTGATATGTAATAACATTACCGATCAAGTGGTGGATGCAAATACCATGGGAAGCTAACGGATAGATTTTTTCAAGCGATTTACTGATCGACAAATGCCTATCTGACACAAAAGCTAAACCTTGATCATCCGCTATGAGTGTCTTAAGTTGCAAGAAAAACCACTCCCATGATGCATCATTCTCAGAACGAGCAACGCCAAATGCGATTGGATACAAATTAGAGTTACCATCTACGGCTGTAGCAACCAGAAGAACTCCTTTGTATTTACTCTTCAAAAATGTACCGTCAACAACAATCACTTTCCGAATTGACTTGTAAAACCCTCTAATTGACTGACCAAAAGATATGAATAGATATTGGAATCTACCATCACAATCAACTTCATAATTTGTATACGTACCGGGATTAGCTGCTTGTAGCATGTACAAGTATTTTGGTATCTTACCATAACTTTTCTCAGGAATTCCTCTGACTTCATTAACTGCATACTCACGAGACTCCCACGCCTGCGAATAATTAAGCTCGTGTCCATACTGTGACCGAATAAGATTGATGATATCATTCGGTTTAGGTCCTTCCAACACACCTTCATAATTATGCATAATGATATGTCCAATCGTTTTTGTTGAAGGTGTTCGACAGAATTTACTTTTCTTGGAAGGAGCACATGTATGGTTACCCACGTACTTGTTGATTTTTAAATACGAAGACCGCTCTAAACGCTCAGCTCGAAGTCGCCACTTGCAGCCAACATCTATGCATCGTATACACCACAGTTTTGTATCAGACTTTGTAATCCTGTAGTCACAGTTATACTTCATCGCATACAATTCCATGGTTGACTGTAACAATTCTTTGCTTCTGAAATACTGACCCTGGCTCACACAAGAATACTGTGACGACGATCCGATTCCATGACCAACAATAGCATTTTTTGGAGTTTTGAAACTATCGGCATTCTTTCTAGTTTCTTTCACACCCCATGATGACAAAATCTTTCACACCCCATGATGACAAAATATTGTCGACATTAACATCATCATCTCCATCGTCGACATTAACATCATCATCTCCATTACTTGCAGCGTCGGGTTCCTTATTCAGATCGAATTTTTCTTTACTCCCTGTATCTTTATCTCCACCATTGAACGTCACACATAACTTGATCGTATTTTTCCTTTTACAGTACGAAAGGAAATTACTAACCTGTCTGTTATTCATCATTACAACAGGAGGACAATCCAAGCTAAGATCCGTGGGTAAGTAACTTAACTCCACATCAACTGTACTCTGTTCTATTCCATAGTCTTCTGCAACAATCGCTTGTAACTCTTCAAAAGTTGTAGTCGTTTCCAAACTCAATAATCTCCCACGATTTTTTTCATCAATAATAAATCTCCACTCTTTCTTGTTATACAATCTCCACACACCACTCCTTACGTAGATGTGCATCGAGAAATCGTTGATCAAAAACGGGAAAATTTGAAGGAAAACGTGTTCTTAGCTTTTTAGAAACGAAAGTGGTGGACTAAGACGTGTAGGATTAAGACGTATAGCTTTTTAGGGTTTAAAAAACGTTTTAGGTTTTAATCTTAGTCTAAAAACCGTAGACAACAACTTCTACATCTTGTAGATCGTAATCTAAACAATAAATAATCATTTAAATCGTAATCTAAAAAAATATTTTGTTTCCTTTTCTGAATATTTACTTTCTATATTTAGAGCATTCTAAAAATTACAGAAATCGAAATCTACAATACCGTAGAATTTACATTCTAAACGTAGATTACAATTTCTAACGATGGCAGAAGATGTAGAAATTATTAGAACGTCTATTCTAAAACATTTAGAATATAGAGAAAAACGTAGAATGCATGTTCTAAATATTTTAGATTATTGATTTTCGGATTTCTAAAATTCTCAGAACAGAAATCTAATCTGAAATATGTAGAACATGTACAAAAATGCAGAATACACATTCTGAGTTTCGCAGAACGCTAGAAAACGTATTCTACCAAAATTAGATGAAACTTTATCTATCAAAAAATCAACTTTTTTTAAACCAATTCTAAAAAATTATACTTCAAATCACCTCTACTCTTGTATATCTACCTGTTTTTATGGTTATTTTTTTAAAAAAACAATTAAATTAGGGTGTAGGGGTAAAATCGTCCAAACTGACAATCTCACAAAAAAGGTGTATATGGACAAATTTTTAAGTAGATATCCTTTATTTCCAATTTTCCCAATTTTCATCATACTCCTATAAAGTTTAGATTTTTTTTTTTTTGTCTTTCAGGAATCATCGTACTAAAAAAATTAAAATATGGAATTTGTGAAATCTAATCTACAAATGGAAATGAAGTAATCAGCTTTAAATCTTTGACCATCCTTAAGGTCAAACAATTATTAAATCCTTTAAAACGATACTCTTTAGCTTTTACATAAAACGACACCGTTGCTACACAACAACAAAAAAAAAAAGAAGTACACAAAACGATGTCGTTTCTGCAAAAGAAGATAATAAACGGCGCCGTTTGCTATGTTATAAAACGACGCCGTTTGAGATGGTTCGTTTATTTCTTCTTTTTTCTAGAATTCCGAAATCTGAATCAGAAGAGAAAACGATGACGAGAACTGTTCTACTGAGAGCTCTGACGAAGAACAAGTTCGTCGCCTCTAATGCTCCTCGATCTATCTCCATCTCCATCTCCATCACCAATCTCTCTCGATGCGTATGATCTTTAATCTCCTACCCATTTTCCCCCAGTTCGATCTTTTGTTTTCGCTGGAATCGATCATTCATGACCGTAATTTTTGTCTTGTTTTCTTCGTAGCCAAACTTGATTTTCAGCTGTAATTTTCGATTTTTTTTCATATTGAAAATGAATTGGAAGTGGTAAAAGATCAGTCTTTGTGGTGGGTGATTTCGATTTTATCAGTCCTTGCATTAAAAAGAGAAACTTTTTTTTTATTTTACTCTAAGTGGGAAATTTTTGTTTGGAAGTAGTCAGTTTGTGAAGCTTCTATATGTATATTGAGATTATTGTTTTGTTTTCATTATGCTGAGAATTTCACAAGTGTACATTTTTGTTGTTGTTGTTGCATATAGATTAGCACTTTAATTATAGCAGAACATGAGAGTGGTTCAATCAAACCTCAGACAGTGAGTGCAGTAGTTGCAGCTAATTCTTTAGGTGAGAATTCTTCAATTTCTTTATTATTGGCTGGTTCTGGTTCTTCTCTTCAAGAAGCTGCTTCTCAAGCTGCCTCTTGTCACCCTTCTGTTTCAGAGGTAAACTACAACATTCTCGCTTCTGTTCATGTGCTTTCTTTTGGGTTTGTGGTCTTAATGTTGGTACTTTTTTTTAGGTACTTGTTGCTGATTCTGATAAATTTGAGTACCCTTTAGCTGAGCCTTGGGCTAAATTGGTTGACTTTGTTCGGCAACAAGGAGATTACTCTCACATTCTTGCTTCCTCGAGTTCGTTTGGCAAGAATATATTACCCCGTGTCGCTGCTCTTTTAGATGTTTCTCCTATTACCGATGTTGTCAAAATCTTAGGATCCGATCAGTTTATCAGGTACATTTCAACTCTCTCTTGTTCTTGTTGAACTGTGAACTAAAACCAAGCTTTTTTATATGTGTCAGGCCTATTTATGCGGGAAACGCTTTGTGTACAGTTCGTTATACTGGCGCTGGTCCTTGTATGTTGACTATTAGATCTACATCTTTTCCTGTCACCCCAATTACAGCAGACTCCGAGTCAAAGAAAGCTACTATCTCTCAGATTGATCTCTCAAACTTCAAAGAAGGTCTGTTTAGTGTTCTCTTGTGTATTTGTGTTTTCATCGTTGGTTATTTTTTGTAACTGATTTCGCTATTCTTCACTGCAGACTCTGTCAGAAAATCTAGATATGTGGGAAGTTCAACTCAGGATACAGAACGGCCTGATCTTGGAAGTGCACGCGTTGTGATCACTGGTGGAAGGGCGTTGAAGAGTGTTGAAAATTTTAAAATGATCGAAAAGCTTGCAGAAAAACTTGGTGGAGCAGGTTAGTTATACATGCTTGGCCTGATCACCAGTGAGTGTGTGGGAAATTTTTATCCCTCAAGTGAATGTGCTTCGAAATGTATGTGTATAACTGTTTCATTTGTACAGTTGGCGCTACTCGTGCTGCTGTTGATGCTGGATATGTTCCTAATGATCTTCAGGTAATATTTGTGGATCCTTTTTTTAATTATTCCTTCCACTTAACTTCTTTGAAGAGTTTGTTTGTTTGTATCGTCAGGTGGGACAAACGGGTAAAATAGTAGCACCAGAGCTCTACATGGCATTTGGTGTTTCAGGAGCCATTCAACATTTAGCTGGAATTAAGGATTCTAAGGTGATTGTTGCGGTTAATAAAGACGCCGATGCACCAATTTTCCAGGTAACAAACACACTTGAGACCGTTTTTTCCGCCTATTCAAGTTAGGACCAAACGATGCTAAAACCGATTGGCTACGAAATTGTAGGTAGCTGATTATGGACTTGTTGGAGATCTTTTCGAAGTGATACCCGAGTTGCTGGAGAAGCTTCCAGAAAAGAAATGAGAAGCCGAGAGACCGAAACTCGTCCCTGTTTATCATCTCTTAAGCTCTGTATTTTCAGGTGCAGACCATAGTAAGTAGTGTATATAGCAAAACTGTAATAAAAAAAACGGTCTGGAGTCTGACCAAACAAAAGCAAAGTGTTTAACTTTCAATAAGAATTCAATTTTCTATACATTTTACATGTCAATCAATAATAGTAACAATTTTACATCAAAGAATCAGAAGAATAAAAAATAATAATAACAGTTAAAACTTAAAAATAAAATAAAAGAATCATCAAGCAATAAGGTTAGATAACATGGATAAAGGAACTACACAAAGTCCTCTCTTTTTCAATTCTGCAGAGAATTCTTCATTCATAATTTCTTTTATCTTTGATCCTGTTTCTGTTATGCATCCAATTTCCTATAAATTCCCACCAAAAAAGAACTTATTGTTAGTCGAAAATCAAATTTAGTTTTGATGAAAAAATCTATTAACATGAAAGAAATGTTTTTATTTTGATAAAGGGTTTCTTATTACCTCGGATGTAACATTGTACATGGATTTTCCATATCTTGTATTATCATTAGCACCATCTAAGACACTAAAACCCTTTAAAAAAAAAAACACAACAAAAATGTTAGAAAATTCAACAAAAACAACAAAATCAATTCTACAAATTAAGATACACTCATATGTATCTAACCTTGGTTTTATTAGAAGGAGAAGAAGCTGTATCTTCCTCATCTTCTTCTTCTTCCTCTCCTTTTTGTAGGTCTTCTTCTTCTTCTTTGTGCTGATGAATGATTCGTCTCTTTTTAGGGTTTGTATTAATGTTATTAGCCTTTCGACGAACAACATTATTAATCTTTGTGGTGTGGACAGGAGATGCAGCGTCTGAGATCATCGATGAATCATTATCGTAATAATGAGTCATTTCTCCTTCAGTTTCTACCATTTCATCATCATGATCAATATCTTCAAAGTAGACTATCCAACTACTCTCTTCTTGATCTTCTTCTTCGTGTATCGTTTTGATTTGGTGATTGGAGAATACTTTCTGTCTCACGCAGTTGTTTACGGAGTTCTCCATTGAAGTGTTTGGGGGAATGCAAAAAAAAAGAAAAAAAAAAAAAGAAGAAGAAGATGTGTATGTTAAGTTGAGACTTTTGTTGGCAAATGATTTTGTTATAGAATAGGCTCACATTTATATAGTAGGGAAAAAAGATTTAGATCATGGAAGTTGGAGGTGTGGCACATTTTGGTCCGTTTGTCCTTTTTGTTTTTTTTTTAAGTCTTTTATATCTTATTAAAATTGTATTTAATTATTTATACAACTTGTTATGGATCTTAGACATATGTACTTTTTCAATTCCGAAACCAAACGTGTCACAAGATTCACAACAAGAGATGATGTGTTTGTGTTTTGTGAAAATATTATGTTCAAGTTTTATAAAGTTTTAAAACTTTTTTAAGTCTAATAATTTCTGCAAATTAAAAATTTAAAGAATAAAAACAAAGAAAATTTATAATTGTAGTATTTTTCATTTGAATAAACAAACAAAATAATCTTAGGACTAAAATTATACAAGGTAATTTGGTTTCTTGAGGTGCAAGAACAAGAAAAGAAGGGAAAGTGGTCGACCTTCTTGTGACTTAGTGGATAATGTGATTGTGCACGTTTCACATTTCTCGTTGGTTTCTAAGTGAGTTTGCCAAATCTAATCCTCCTCAGGTTATATTATATTATCATCATAATTAAACTCAAAAAAGAAAAGGTTTACTTCAATAATGTTTGATTTCATTTATAAAGGAGATGCATATTTTAAGCCATGACCTAATTAATCCAAAAGAATCACTCATTGACATCGAGATTATCTGAGAATTTAAAATAGATGACTTACTAATGGTTAAAGTCCATCATCAACACCTGAGATAACAATTTATATTTCTTTTGGATCATCACACTTTTTATAACCAAAGATTTTTTCTTTTTTCTTTTTGAAAAGTAAAATCCACATTTGTTAAAAATGAATCACTAAAACTTCGGGCAACAAAGTGGTAATCATTGTGGAACTATTATTATTTAGTTTTGTCGGATAATCTTATACCACATATTAACCATCATACTCTACATTACTATAGCATCTCTCATACATTACTTATATATCTTTTATTGATATAAACAATTCATTTGATATCTATCGACACGATAAGTAGAAATGAATATTTGCTAGTGACAACCACATATTAACATCATTATCATCAATCTTCTTTTCACCATTACGAAATCTAATCTAGGTCAATTTTTCGACACCTTAACATGCTCACGCATCGTCTAACGTCACATATTTTTGCGTCACAGAATGGGTAATTATATCCATAAGAAAAAATTCGAAATTCACTCATTTCACTTTAATATATTGTGGAGGGTGATATTAACATTAACAAACCAAAAATACAAGAGGTATTACATCAAACTTTGCTAATTTAACCCAAATATACAAATAGGTGTTAAATCAAACTATTGTATTTAACAAAAAAATATTGTTTTAAGAATTTTTTCTGCCGGACTCAAAAAGGTTCAAGAATCGTGGACCAACTATATATACAAAGAAGAGATTAATTATATACTAACCATGTATATACGTCGCTTTTTATTATTTATCCTTAACCTCACTATTACCTTCATCACATTTCGTTTATTTAATTATTAATTAAGAGTTTTAAAATAAATGAAGACTATTTTCGCCTGCTTGCCACGTTATAATCCAAATTCTCGTTGAATCTTTATTACCACTTCCCCACGAATTACATGTCTTGATCATTGACCAAATTTATTTATTTCAAGAAGCAAGAACCAAGTACTCTCTTGAAATCATTTTTTTTTGCCGTCTCTTAAAATCATTTGATTTTTATTATTTTTTACACACATGTCATCTATCTAGTCTCTAGTTCGTAGATGATGCTACCAATTTAATTTATTGGAGAAGAAAAATATTTCTCCTTTTAACAAAGAAACAAATCTAAAACAAAATAGCAAGCTAATTTTTTTTTTCTTAAGATAATATATAGTATTTGTTACGTTGTAGGTAAAAATGGGGTTTCAATTGAAAAAAGTTTGTTCGTATATCTTTTCTTTTTTTAATATATAGTTTGTTCGTATATCAACTTCTTTATGATATTACTCTAAAATTAGAATGAACATAGTAAAAATTACATGATTAAAACTATGTGGAAACAGGAAACAAAACAACATTTATTATAAGATTCTCGAATTTGGTCTGTCAAACAGATTATTTAAAATAACAATTCTCTATTTGTCGACTGATGTATTTTAAGTTCTCTCTTGTAACAGTGTGCTTGCGCAATATCTTTCATCACATTAGTGTGCTTACGCAATATCTTCCCGCACCATTTTTTATTTTTTAAAATAAGTCTTTTAAAGAATTTAAATATTTCAGAAACAAGATTAAAATACAAAATTATTCTAGATATATACTCAATTAATGTACATGTATCATGTATGTGTACAAGATTCAACTCAACCGGCTAAGTTAGTTTATGAATCTGTGATAATTAAAAAAATAAAATAAAAGACCACTACTATATATCTAACTAACTTTTGTTAGTACCAACATTATAATTGTTACCAAAAAGAATTTGAACTTTCACTTTGTGTGTCCTCAAAAGCGTAATTGCTTAATTGGTCCTAGCTTCTTCTCAACCCGATTGGTTTACCATTTGGAGTTAAAAATTAAATTACTTTTCCTCCTTCCAATGGGAATAATGTAGATGTTACAAATACTATTCTAGCTTGCAGTTGAATCCATTGTATGGTTTCGAGTTTATCAGGTTATAGAGAGGTCACAAACTCACAATAAACAAAGAACATAAAAACATTTTTAGGACTTTAAACAAAGTATGTATGTTTTGGCGAGCTAGTTTTCCAACCGCGGAACAGTATCACCAATTCTTCTTTCCTTTGCAATCCACTGTAATGATCAGAGTCGGACAAAGAAAGCCTTAGCAGAAATGGGGGTCACATTTCAAAAATTGATAATGGTCTAGTTGCTTTTATTATCATCTTCTTTGGAATTTTATCACTTTTTATATCTTAAACTCTTAAACTATAACTTAAAAGACTTAGTAAATTAACAAACAATGTATCAAACAAGTAAAATTATCTGATTTAAAAGTGCATTTGATCTAGTTTTCTTTTTATTTTTTGCTCAATTGAACTCGAACTGTCTTTGCAATTCCAACAATTCTTCATCCATCCTTTTCGTCCCGGAAATTTTTAGATCAAAGTGATATCGGAGAATCGATGCAAAGGATTTTTCCGTCAGTTACTCAGCAAGATTTGATGATTTTGTTCAATTGTTCAAACACACGGATGTAGTAATTTCCTTAATTGATTAAACCAATGTTTTTGAAAACCGGACCGGTCGGTATTAGTTAAAAACATTTTTAATTGAAACTTAAACGGAAGAAGCCCTAATAACGTCGTTCTTCTTTCTCTATCTTCTTCTTCTGGTTAGTTCGTCGAGAACTGCAAATCGCCGGTTTCTGTCTTTAGGTCATCTTCCAGCTTCAAAGTTCTTAAATTGAGATACCGGCTTTGTGTCTATTCGATTCGATTTAGAGTTGGTTAATGGTAGGACCGAACCGTACCCGATCCGACCCGCCCTCAAAGACCGAGAAAATTGCGTCTTCCTTGAACAACAAAAGTTGAAGCTTTATTGCAAGTTGCAGGTCTCTAAAACCCTAACCTTAATCTCTGTCTTGTTCGAATTTAGAGCAGTATCAAGAATCAGAGTTCCATTGAAAAATTGTTTGAATAAAACTCCATGGATGATACACAAGTCAAAGCTCTGGAGGAGAAGCTGAAGAGTCAGCTTGGCCAGCTTGAACTCGAGCAAGCGGTGTTCGAGAGAATGGTCTACAAGAATAAGAACCAGCATCGGAGATGCTCTTATTTTCAATACCTTCTCAAGGTATCTATCTATCTACATTCTTCTTCTTCTGGTAGATTGTGTTAAAAATAGACAACTTTGAGACAAACTTGTATTTGATTGAATTCAATTTTTAGCAAATCGTTTTTTTTTTATTGGTCAGGTGAGAAGGGACTTGAGACTTTTACGAACAGCAAACATGGAGAGTATGTTGAGACCTTGCTTTCATGTTATTTCTGGGAGAATAAGTAAACAGAAGATTCATGTTTTGGAGAGGTATGCTTCTCTTTCTTTTGTTGATTTTACTGATTTATGAGAATGTTGTAGGAGCTAAGTTGGTTTGTTTTTGGGGTTTATGCAGCTTGAAGTTGAAAAAATCTGATACTGGGAAACCAAATATCTTGGAACGACTTCTTGGAGCTCTTCATTTACTCTCACAGGTATGCGTAATCGAGCTTTGATCATACATATGAACAAGATCCTTGGTGTTCTGACTGATCATTATGTTTGTTGCAGATGACTGAACCCATCTTGAAGGCAGCTAGGTATTTGATTGATTCGTGAATTGAATTGTTTGTTTAATGTCTTAGAGCTAATCTTGTTCGGTGGGTAATTTTGTTCTACAGTGGGATATCCACTCTACTAGCTCGTTCATTTTTCATAGGATTTTCTGTGACATTTTTGGCCCTGCTTGCACGCCTCCGAGTGTTGATTCAACAAGTAAGTTAACTTTGTTTGTGATGAAACTAAAATAAAAGAACATTGTGGGAAGTTTCTCCAATCCATGATTTAATATATTACACACTGTGATTGATCTTTATTGTAATCGTAGTCTGCATAATGTGGTTAATTTTCTAATCGTTTTTGTTTCGCGCAGATATTACTTGATGCTGTTTCAATTTTCAATTCGGTAACATCTACATCACTGAAGAAACAGTCTGTCAAGATAGCACAGGACGGGGTTGAGGTTGGTCAAAGATTCTTTGGTGTAGATTTCTTACATAGTTCAATGATCATGTCAGCAAACTCTGTTTTCTCTATTGGAATTAATACAGGTATTCCGCGAGTTCTATCCAAAGGAAGAAGAGTGTATCACCTTATTGGATTGTGTATGGAAGACCGATAAATATGTCTTACTGGAGACATTGCAGAACTATGAGAATAGTAAACCTATGGAGGAAAATGTCTCTGAAGATGCTACTACTAGGGATTCTTTGGTACAGTATCAAACATCTGTTTCTTCTCTCGGGGGTAAGAACCTTCACTGAATTACTCTTTGGTTGTTATTTTTGGTCCCCTAGTTCGAATGCTGGTTATGTCCCTACTACCTAGATCTTGAGAGAACCACTCATTTGGCTCATACTTGTCTAAAGTCCTGCCTTTAGAGAATAAAAGGGTTCAAAGGTTACACAGCTTGGATTTTAGATGGCTTTGTTG